TTGCTTTGACTAACAGAATGCAGTCAAAGTGATACTTTGTCTATTCTATTCTAGGCCTAGAACTTCTGAGGCCTTGCTGCTTCTGTGTTTGTCCTTTTGAAAGTTTGGCCTAGACTACTAAAGGATGAGAGAGCACATGGAGAAAGAGGACAAGTGGAGGAGGACCAAGGTGTCCCAGCAACAGGTGGTACCAAGGTCCTAGACATGTGGAGTAGGTCATCTTGGATCTACCAGCTGCACCAAAACCACTCCAGCAGATATTATATAGAACACAGGTAAGCCCTCCCCAAAGTTCTGGTACACAGAATTGTGAGCAAAAAAATTACTGCTGTTTTATGTCACTAGGTCTGCAGATGATCTGTTATGAAGCGATAACGAAAAGACATACCTTATGGTTTCCCCCACCAAGTGGCTCCAAAAAGGCTACATGCCTGGGTTTCTATACCCTCTCTCTGTGCTATCTTCCAATACTTATTCCTGGGTCTCACTCAATTTTATTCCAAGGTACAAACTACACATCTTATATAAAATGCCCTTAACAACATGGGAGAGCACATTATGCCACTGACTGAGGGGACATACACTTAAGACTTGTGTGATGGCTTGTTTCAAGCAAGAGGACATATGCTATCAAATGCCTGTTGGGGGACAGATTGAAATGATGCTGTTAGACAGCACTTCTTCCTGTGGTGTTTCAGGATTTTGCACAGCTTCTGACAACAAAGTTAGAAAAGTGGTCACTCAAGAGATTTGTGTGTGTGTGTTTATGTTTCTAGAAAATTATAGCCAAGCCAAGCTTTCTCATAGCTCAGTTGGTAGAGAATCTGCCTGCAATGCAGAATGTCCAGGTTCAATCCCTGGGTCGGGAAGATCCCCTGGGGAAGGAAATGGCAACCCACTCCAGTGGTCTTGCCTAGAGAATCCCATAGACAAAAGAGCCTGGCAGGCTACAGTCAGTGGGGTCGCAAGAGATTGACATGACTTAGCAACTAAACCACCACCACCAAGGGAATTCTCACTAAATACTGTTAACTAACATCTTCATATTGTGAATTTTAAAGAAAGATGACAATATTTATCTGAGGACATAAACAAGGTCTGTTGATGAATAAATGAAATTCCCTTGGCAGTAAATTCATCCAAAGCATTGTCTCCAAAGCTGAGGGCTCTCAGAGCATGAGTTCCTGTGAGGTGAACATCACAGGCTTCCAAAGGAGACTAACACAGCATCTGCTGACTTTATACCAGACCAGGCCTGAAGCAACATTTGAAAAGGAGTCAAACTGCCTTATTCTAAGTTGTTTTTATCAGAAAGACAAGCCTGATGAATGTTAAAGACTTTCTCTCCAGAATCATGTACAAACACAGGTTGTGCACATAGCTTTGGCCCATCACAGACCCCAGGTTAAAAACCTCCATCAAAGTGGCACGGGAGATCCCTCAGGACTGGAGACACACACTCCACTGTAGCCTTCATCCCAAGAATGTTTCCACTGACACTCCTGCACTGGTTCCCACAGGAATATAAATCTCACTGTGATTCATCCCACTTTCTGGCAGAAACTAATGAAAAAGAACATATAATAAAGCACTGCAATGCTCTTTTAATATGTGCCTCACCAGATACACAGTAGAGAGGAACATAATTTATAATCCAACAAACCAGATGAGTATTTGCACCAGTTCCTGCCCATATACTTACAGGCCTGGCCCTCCATTTCATATTTCATTTCTATTTCTGCTTTTTGCACTCAAGTCAAGCAGGATGGCACTTGTTGACAAAAGTTTCAATAATGTTATTAGCAGTATTCAATCTTTTTCCTATCATGTTACTTTTTAATGTTTCCTGGCTTTGAAGGCCCAAAGACACCAAAAACTGTTACAGTTCAAAACCTACTAGATGCTGCCTGCTATAAGCTCAGACATGAAACATAATCAAAGTACTTACTCCTTAGAGCTCTGTCTCAATATTTAATATTATTTATTTGAGAAAATATTATGTTTAAAAACTATTATTTTGAGCAAGCAGGCGCATGCGATACTCGTAGATGTATTTATGCTCTATCTTCAGAGAAATCTGTTCAGACTGCTGAAAAAAATAGTTTACAGTTAGTGATACTCCTTGTTAGATTCTTGGCTAAGACCTTTACATAAATCACCTTATCTCACCCCCACAACAAACCAACTAAAGGGATGTGGCCCACTGGCTGATTGTTCATCAAACTTCTTTCCCTTTGCTTTGCACGGTTAGGGGCTTTCCCAGTCTTCCTTGCAGTTAGAGGTGGCCACATCACTGAGTTCTGGCCAATGGAAAGTGGAAGAGAATAAGGAAAGCATCTTCTAGGTTTGACCCACAGAATCTTACCCAATCTTCCATGCCCTCTCATTTCCCTCACTAACTGGCTGATTGCAGAGATCTGCAGAGCAGAAGGCAAAACTACAAAAGAGAAGGAACCTGGATTGCTGAATCACTGTGTAGGATCCAACCAACAGAATACCCACAGTGAACTGGTATGTGAGGAAGACAGAGATTACTATTGTCCTGAGTTACTGATTTGGGGGGGTTATTTGTCATAGCAGTCACACTGTACTGAAAGTATTTTCATGAGCATAGAGAGGTTGAGTAATCTATTCATGGTCACACAGCTGACAAGAGGTAACAGATTTACATCCAAGTGGTTTGCTTTTAGAAATCCTGTTATTAACTTGTTTAGAAACATGTTATTCAATTATATTTCCTTTTTGCAAGTTTGTTTTAATCATACAGAACATAATCATCTATACCTGACTTTATATATGAAGGAAGTGGCTGGACAAAGTCCAAAGGTTGAGACAGAGAGAAGATAATTTCTTCAAGTAAGTTATCTGACCTCAGATCTCTTTATTAACCATATAAGAAAAAACCTATGTTGTCTACACAATTTTCCAGGATACCTCAATTACTCCGTGAAAGTCTACATTCAGAGGTTCTTTAGTAGTTACTAACGCTGTGTAACAACTTAACCCCTCCCCCCAACTTAGTGACTTAAAATACTTAATAACTCTCCCACTTTCAATGGGTCAGGAATTCAGGAGAGGCTTAGCTCAGTGGCCTCTTATGAGGCTGTACTCAAGGTGTTGGTTGGGGCCACATCATCTGAAAGCATGACCAGGGCTGGAGGAGTCACTTCCAAAATAACAGGCTCACATGGCTGGCATGCTGGTCTGGTTGTTGGCAGGCAGCCTCACTTTCTCCCCAATGGGCTGTGTGACCATCCTCAAAACATGGTGGCTTTCTTCCCCCAGAGTGAGAAAATCCAGACCACAGCAAATGCTACCAGGTCTTAGGACTGGTCTCCAAAGTCAAGTCCATTACCATCACAGTTTTTTATTATCAATTCCTACTGATCACATTGGGATCCGTGTTGATCCCTTATTCACAGTTGGAAGAGAACACACAAGGGGGTGAATACCAGGAAACAAGGGTTACCGGGAGCCGGTCTGGAGGTCAGCTACCATCCATTCACCCAACACTCATGTACTAAGCACATACTTAAGAACTATGGGAACAAAATAGCCTATATTTGTCTGCTTTCGTGATACATATGTTCTAGAAGAGGTCAGAAAGGTAACAGATGTAATCAACAAGTAAATGATATACAGTATACTAGAAAGTGGTAAGTGCTGTGGAGAGAAAGAAAGCACCCTCAAGGGCAGGGGGAGTGCTGGAGTTGGGGCTGTCCACAGTTTCACAGAGAGATATGGGTGGGCCTCACTCAGGCTTGAAGGAGGAAGAGTGTTCCAGGCACCACAAACAGCAGTTGCAGAGGCCTTGAGGTGTAAGTGTGCGCCGTGGGCAAGGAACAGTGAGGCGGGCAAGGTGGCTGTAGGCAGGAGCTGGAGGAGAGGGCTGTAGGAGATGACATGATGCAAGTAGCAGAGGGGAGAGCAGAGACCATGGAGGACATTCCAGGCTCCTGTAAGAGCTCTGAGTTTCACTCTGAAATGTGAAGCCACTGGACAGTCCTTAGCAGACAACGGATATGCTATAATCTAACACTAAAAACATCTCATTCTGGTGGCTGACATCAGAACAGACAGGCCAATGGTAGATGCAAGGAAACAAATTAGGAGGTTCCTATAAATCCAGACAAGAGCTGATGATGACATATGGTATTGTGCTGTCAGTGCAGGTGGTTACTGGTCAGGTGCTAGATTCATCTGGCAGGTAATCTAGCACAATTAATTCACCATTCTAAGTAAAGGTTTTATTTAGGATTTCATTATATCTCAGCACCTTGGACTGTCAAATGGTGCCCTAGGGGGTCTTGTGGATGCCGAGAAGATTCACAGGGATTTGCTACCAGAAACTGAGGTGGGACCAAGGGGTGCATGCAGCTTTCTGTCCCCTTAGCCCAGCTTTTAAGGGCAGCTCTGTTGACATACATCATTATGCAGGGGTGAGGGCAACCCTCTTAATACAGACTAGAAACTTCAGTGCCCTAAAGGAAAAAAACTGAGCATGCACCCAGCCACATACACAGTGTAAAACAATACAGCATTTGTAAAATTATAAGGAAACTATGTTAGGAAAAATATTTGCAATGAAAATTGTTTACTATCCCTAATAATTAAAAACTTCAAAATTCATAGCAAAAAAAAGTAAAAAAATGGCTAAAAGGCATTTTCAAAATGAGGCTCCAAGTAGTACCTCCTTCACCAGAAAGAAGGTTGTGAGGTTAAAAGGACAACATATATAAAGTGCTTAGCACAGTTCCTATTACAAAAGAAATGCTCATTATGTTGCCCACTGCTACCACCACCACAACCACCACCGTTGTCACTGCTGCCATCCCAAGATGACTATCACCACCACATCACCACCACCATCAGCAACTTCGTCACTGTCACCACAGTGTAAGAGCCACCGGCAAGGCAAACCTGAGTCAGCCCCGTACACCAGTTCTAACGCAGCTCTCCCCAGGTAAATTCTCCACTTGCAATGACGAACAATACATTACCTTTTCATGATTTTCTATTAGGATCTCGATAACTATGTTCTGAAACTTGATATCCATTATGGCTGCTACAGTTTCTTCCTGAGGACGCAGCAGGGTGGGTCCAAATACCACGCCGAGGTTTGCCACTGTCATCAAATTCTGCTTGTGGTTGTTAGCAACACTGAGAGGAAGCAAAAGAAATGGCACAAATCAGAGAAATAGTAAATGACAGACAATTGACTTCCTATACCCGTCTCATCTTCAGACACCTGATCTGGTAGGAGCCAGACCTACAGGCATGTTCAGATGCTGCTGGAGTCCAAAGAGACACTTTTTTACTCACAGTTTCATCTACCAAAGTTTCAGAAATCTCCAGGGTTAGGCTATTTTGCTATTTCATGATATGACACTCTTTACAATTCCCATTTTGCCTTAAAAAAAAATCAATAACCAACCAAAATGGCTTGCCTTCCAAAATGTGAACCTTTGCACATTTGAATCCTTGTTCTGCAAACCCAGGTTAACTGGTAATCCCTCTTAGTTACAACTTTTATCCTTGGCTGCTGCTTAAACCACTGTGGTTATTAGCTTTTTCTCTAGTGCAAATATAAAAACTCCTGACGGCTTTAATACATTTGCAAACACAGGCTCAAAATAGATCTAATTTTTTAAATGAGTAGATCTCAGTCAGGAAATTCAGCACTTTAGGCTCAAAGTATTCAAGTCCCATCACATCACACACGTGGCTTGTATTAAGCCAAACACGTGGCATGAACAGAAATAAAAACACACTACTTACATCCACGTATATAGCTGTTTATATTATCACTTATACTCAAAATCCAAGAAGCACACAGGGCCAGGAGTAACAGGTCTGAGTAAGCTTCTAAACACATATGCATATTTTTGTATAATCAATTAACCAAACATGTATCTGAAATCCACACCCAGGCCACCATGACCTAGTCATAAAACTTCATTGTTCATTTGCTAGCCCCACGTATAAAAATATACAAAGTTATCTATTGACAACAAGTTAAGTTAAAAGTTAAGACCATTCAATATTGTTAAGAAAATATTAGGGGCTTCCCTAAATCACCTGTTGGAAGAAGGAAACTATTCATTACTAGAAACTAGAGAGAAATTGGGCAGAGGTGGCAGTTTGCACAGAAATACCTCCCTAGCATTTAGTGCTATTTATACAGAGGTTTTTAAAATTTTTTCCCCCATACAATTCTATAAATGTTTGCACTGTTTCTCTTGGATACTTCTATTTTGTAGGCGGAAAAAGAGATTTGACTGCTTTAAGTGCTGGTTTTGAAACTGAGCCTTTACTGAATACTATATTAACTGATTTTATCACCAGAAACGTATTTTTCTTTCATTTTCTAGGGCTAAAGTCTAATTTCATAAAAAAAAAAAAACTCTTCTGAAAGAGATGGTTACATCTGTGAAACCTGAACTGTGGTGTGGAACAGCCCAATCAAGAAGGGAATTTGCTTTTTTATTGCTAAGTAACACCTGTAGCAAGATTCTGCCACTGATGCCTTGTCCTGTTTATAAGACTATTTTCATTTCTTGAGATCTAGCTGAATTTCCTGATATTACTTATAGTTTTCCATTCTACCTAGAACTGTATCAGGTTTCTAGTCTAAAAGTGTTAAAGCAGATGGTCAAGGTTTTACCTAGCAAAGGGGAAAAGATTTGGTTCTGGGTCTCAGAATCACCATGTCTGCATATTTACAAGTTGCTTGTAACACCACTACTTTCAACATCAGCTCCTTTGTGCGGGAAGTGAATTCCATGCTCTTAAATTTCCCCTGCCAAATGAGCCAAGTCAGTAGACTTACCCTCTTGTCACAAAAGTCCCTTGTGTATATGAATCAACAAGCTATTTATTTATGAAAGCACTTTTAAATTGTAGACCAATATAAAAATATAGGGTTTGGATAATGATCACTTTCACCATCACGCTTTTTAACACGGCATCTGACTAAAGCAACTGAGTTTTAACAGGGCTCCCAGACTAGACTCTCTGGGTTCAGCTGCGTCCTGCCCGCCCCCACCAGCTTCTGTCTGCCAATTCAGCATCGCTCAAGTCAGTCCTCTGTTGAAAACTACAATGGCTTCACACCTCATTTGGTCGCTGGGAGAGAACACAGTGACACAGTGTATGTGTATAACACAGTGTATGTTCAGGAATGCTTCCACGGTTGGAATGTTCTGATAATGGTGACTGTAAACCGTTGACAGGCTCCATTGTTTCTAATGTCAAACTCCTATGATCTAGCACAGATTTTTCCAACTCACTTCTAAGCCTTCTGCCTCCTCCCAGATCTGGTCCCTGGAAAAGGGACTTAAATGTTTAAGCTTTGGGTTCCTCATCTTTTAAAAATAGGGTGAGTTTCATTTCTAATCTACTTCATGAGGTTGCTATGAAGATTAAATGGATATAATGTGGGAAGTGCAGTGATGATGATTCTGTTAATCATTCACTACCCATCTTCTGTCTACTTTTATACCTATCTGCCTTTGTCAATCCTCACCCTAGAATGTCCTCTTACCCTTTCTTCCTTTGCTTGGCAAACTGCTGATCTGCAAGGCACAGTTCCAATGGTGCCCTTTCTTTCCGAAGTCTCTGACTAGTCTCTTCCCAACCCTCCACGGCTTGATGAGGCAGGCGTGTTGGCCCTGGATTTATTACAAGTTATTAGTGTCTCAACTGTTGCCTTACGATAGAGACTGTTTTTATTTTAGTTGGTAACACCAGTGCTGAGAGCAGTGCCTGGCTCAGGAGAAACACAACAAATGTTCACTGTGGTGTTAAAAGATGATGGGAGCTTCTGAATAGACATTAAACAATTATTCACAACTCAGCTACTTACTTGGAAAACCTCAAATTATTACCGATGATTTCAGGGAAATGTATCTCAACTTTTCAAAGTGTGGAACTATGTTCCACTCTTTAGATTTAATTAATGAGCAATAATTACTCTGATTTGCAGAGCCCAGTGACCCAAAGGCATTTGGAAAAAAGGTATGGCAACTGAATAAGCATTTGTTAATATAAATAAGCTTGAGGCTACCTAACATCATTCATTTCCTTTTTAATGATCCATTTTATTTTAGAGCTTACAACACACTGATCTAAATTATAAACTTTTGGGGGAAAAGGCTGCACCTTTTACAACCAACTACAATTATCTTCTGGTACACTGAAGCAACAAATTGATTTATCACTTGGTTATTACTGCTCACAACTGGGTATAGCTATGTTCATTACTCAAGAATGAATTATTAATGGCTGGAGATCACTCTGCATCCCAGAAAGAAAAGCACAGACCTCAGCTTCTGCTGGCACCAGCCATCCATTACAGCTTGATGCATTTACCTGTGTGTGGGAGGTGGGCTGGCAGAGTGCTGGGGAGCCTGGTCCAGTTGAGGCCACGGGACTCATTCATTAGTGAGGTCTATAAAACATGGAGAACTTGCTTTCTGGGCTGGTAACTGAGGTGCTTAAGCTCTTCCTCACAGCCCAGAATGTCATGTTGAGTCTTGACTTAAAATTCACACACAAAAGTCTCTTTTGCATGACTGCACATCCCACCAAGGAAGTCTTTGATAGGTCTTGCCTAGGTCCACAGGGACTCCTTTGTGAGCCTTCTTACATTACTGCCAGTTCTACAGACTTCCTTTGCAGGCAGCAGAGAAACAGTTCCACATGTGATTTTAACCTAGGAAAGGCCTGCTTCCTTTTGTGACCCATAAGAGTTTGCCACAATAGCTGAAAACAGGGCATCTCCTGAGGGACATGATTTCAGGGCAGTTGGTGGGGGTCGACACCCCATGTTCCCTGTAGTTCCCTCAGGAATTATGGTTAATGAGGGAAGAGCATGTTCCAAGAAACATGACCATGGCAAAGGGGCCTCTTGCTACCTTTGCTTCCAGGGAAAATGGATGAGGGCTCTGGATTGGTCTGACATCCTTTGAGAGGCAGAAGATTACTTCCAGATGAAGATGGTGATGGGGGAGTATTAGGAAGAGAGAAAAAGGAGCCAACTCTTTTGGGGCCAGAAATGCAGAGACGCCCGTGCTGTCTTAAGGATCACATCTGTTTTTCTAGCGTTTAAATGAGAGCCGGAGCTCTGGAAGTGCTGAGTGGTACTTTATAACTACAGACTGGTTTTGATGTACCAACAATACCTAAGCCTGCTGCTAGGTTTGCAAACAGGTTTCATCTTGAGGCTTGCAGCGCTGTGTCATGAAGTATCAAAGCTGCAACCTGGCTCCACAGGACACAATATGTTGACAGAGTAGCACTATCTGCGATGGACCAGATGGGTGGAGGTTACAGCACAGCAACACTATCTGCCATGCTTTATTTGTTTGCTTCAGCTTCCAGTGTTAAGAAATGATAACTTAGACTTGTAAGGTGCTTTAGAGTTTACAAGGAGCTCTGCAACACATTTTTAAGTTTTCTTGAACTTCATATAATATGTCTAGAACAGTAGCTCTCCAACCTTCTGACAAGGACCCATGGTAGGAAATAGATTTTTCCATGTAACATTTCACTAGCACATACATACGGATATGTACACAGAGAGAGGTACACACACATACATACGTGCCTATCAGAAACACAGGTTTCAGAAATAGTGTGATAAATCCTACTAATTTTGATTCTATTCATTTTTATATCTACTAGATTAATTTCACAATTCACTAATGTGTCATGACTTACAGTTTGAAAAGCTTCCTTCTATAGGTAAAGAGTACAAATATTATGTACAATTTATAAATACAGAGAAATAAAGGCCAAGGGAGACAGTACAGTATAGGGGTTGGAGTCAGACAGAGATTCCCAGCAGGATGAGAGTAGGCAGGTCACTGGGCTTCTCTAAATCCCTTTCTTCACCTGTAAAACATGAGCAACAGTATCTACTTCATAAAATTTGTTGTTGTTCAGTCACTAAGTCATGTCCAACTCTTTGTTTAAGGCCAATAAAGTAAAACTAGGTGAGTTGATCTCTTGGGTTGAAATAACGGCTTAATAAATGACAGCTGGTATTGTCCACAGGGGCCGTCAAGACAGTGGAGGTGACAATGTGGAAGCAGCAGCAAGTGCCAATTTAAAGTCACACGGTAAGTTGGTGGTGTCACCTGGTGTCACATTCAGGAATC